GATGTCAAAAGGAAATAATACTGCAAGGTGACTTGGTAAAATTACCAACAGAATATATAATCAATTTTACAAGGAAGACCGATACCACCAGTGTCTTCATTTTGAATATTGGAGTATGGATTCTGTGGTCTTCAAAAAATTGCAGAATTTTCAAAAGAGATGCAATAATGAAATAATATCACCAAGTGACTTGGTAAAATTACCAAGTAAAAATATAATAAATTGTACAAGGAAGAAGGAATATTTAGACTAGAACGAATCGAGTCCACCTTGACTGCAGCAACAACTATAAATCCTAGATATACTCAGCCTAAACTTGCTTTGCGTCCCACCAAACTCGAAAATCGAGAATTCAGCACATCTCAGAGCGAAGGCAATGGTCGTTCCAGTTCCAAATCAGCGATGCTGACCGAATTCCCTAAACGAGCCTCGCCATTACGCCGGTCCAAGCAATTAATCAGCGATGATCGAGGCCACGTATTACTCGGCGATTAATCGAGTCCGTCCAGCGACATTTGAATCGCGCCGGACCGCATACCGGCTCGCGAATGTGCGAAAAAACATTAATTCGCGGCGAGGGACGCGAGAATGAGGGCCCCCGAGGCTTTATTATGCGGTGGATTTGAGCGAGGGGTACGGCGGGTGAGAGGTTAAGGACTATGGAATAGCGAAGCGACGCGCACGTGTGGGAGGACATTATCTTCGCCGTCGCCTGGTTCACCGTCAGGACGCTTCGGGACACGGCTCTCAGCGTGACTCCGTATTATTTGGCACGGCGGTCGCGCACGGGGCCCCATGACGCGGCTCCGAGTCGTTAGGCACCATTCAAAATCACTTTAAGTCGCCATCAAGTAGCGACTATTTTGTCCTCCTCGTCGGGCAACGCCGGAGACCCGCGATCGCCTCCGCCACGGGTCGTCGTGGCGGAGGAATTATAATTTGAACGACCGTCCGACGACTGGGTTGGGGCGACACGGGCCGAGGAGGGACAACCTGACGTGCAACGCAGAAAAAGACGTGACAGGCGAAAGGAGCGTGGCACTTTTGTGCCGTTTCGTTCGGGGCGAGACTGTTGACGCTGATGTTAATTGGGACAGAGGGGACCGAAAACGAAACGGCCGTTCTTCGTTTTCCCCCCTATGCCCGGAACGTTTCATTGTTCCGTGATAAATGGCACCTGCTTTCCGGGGAACCGCGGTTTGCAGTATTAAATGGCAATTTGGGGAAGACAAGAGGTCTAGCGCCATTTTCTTAGCGTGATGCGACTTGTCAGATGCAGTGGACATTTTAACCCTTTCAGACCTGAAGCATTCTTCTTTCATGTGTTCAAAAATGTAGTTTTCAGGGTTCACTTGGACTAAAATTAGTATTCCATCCATTTCTTTGGAGTGACTCTACTTAGCAGATGGATTGGACATTGTCGAGGTTTGGAATTCACATCTTAACTCTTTCAGACCTGCATTATTTTTGTCTCGTATACTAACGTAATTTAATTTTCAGGGTTCACTTGGACTAACTAGTAGAACCGTGCTGAGAAGAGGACGACTATTAATTTGGATAGGGTGAAGTTTATTCAGTGAAATAGAATAATGTACTTGAAGTCATAATTTAACCCTTTCAGACCTGAATTTTTTTTTTCCATGTGATTTAATTTTTAGAGTTAACTTAAACTACTTAGTAGACGGACTAACTAGCAGAACCGTGCTGGGAAGAGGACGACGATTAATTTGTATACAGTGAAGTTTATTCAGTGAAATAGAATAACGTACTCGAAGTCATAATTTAACCCTTTCAGACTCAAATTAGTAAAGAATAAATATAAAAGATCCTAACTGTTTACGAGAAAAACTGCACTATCGTCCTAAACGATAGTATCGGTAATTTTTAAATAGCCTGTCCTGAATTGTAACCGCGACGTCTGAAAGGGTTTTTTCCCTTAACCCTTAAATGGACGATTTTTTTTTTCCTAGTTGTCAAAATTACAAAAAAATAAAAGAAGATCAATTTTATCTGTGATGTTTAGTATGTTGTTTAAGAACAATATCGTCCATTTAAGGGTTAAGCTTAGCCGCGTGTTCGCCAAATGCGACGTAAATACAGTTCCCTTACTTTCGCCATTCGGCTAGAGCTCGGAGACGGTTTGATTAACACTTCTGATAGGATCATGGTCGGTTCGCTTTGTGGTTCGATGACACGGCGCGATCCTCGCCGCGCGAAGAGGGTTTTACGATCCGAGCCGCGGGAGATACGTTCCCCGAAATTTAAGGTTTTATCTCGACCGGCGTGGAATTCTTTTTCGAAATACGCCTTCGAGTGCTCGTAAAAAAATCGGCCCTGGGACACCGGCGTCACATCGTAAAAACTGAAACTCGTCTCTCGCCACGTTTACATAGATCCTGGTATTATGATCTATTATTACCGCCCTCGACGTTAACCGTCCGAGGGAGAGAAAATTATGGCTGGCTTAATCCCTAAACGATCGCTGTGTATAGCGCGCGATTGGGTAGTTCGTAACGTAACCCAAAAACGATCGTCTGTTGGGAGTCTTTATGGGAAGTAGTAATGTTAATGCGTTTATTAATTGAATGGCGGATTATGCAGTATATTATTTGTTGGAGAGAATAACGTTAGGAACACTTTATAATACTCGGGAATATTTATAAAGGCAGTATGTAAATTTTTTTTAATTATCGGTCTGAAGAAAGCCAGGCTCGGATGTACATAGTCGAAAATAAGAAGAGTAATGATGCACAGCGAACTCTGAAGCTGTGTCTGTCCCGATAAGGCTCTTCAAGGTTCTTGCAGTAGATGCTACTCGAGAGTTCCATTTGCGTCGCGTCAGCTTCGCCAGCAGGCCTCGATTATGCACTAATTGTAAACAATACCAGTGCACTGTTTAAGATGGAAAAGAATCGTAGACAAAAGAGATATAAAAATTGAACTAATCCCAATTCCCACAAGAAATTTCCAACAAGAATCCGCTGGACCACTCTAGAGGAGAATTCGAAGCGTACGTGTAACATTAATTCTAACGGGTTGGAAAAAAAGGACCGAATTCGATCTTTCCTCCAATCGAAACGCACAAAAAGAAGGGGAACCGTTCTCCACAATAGCCGCGTTTCTCCCTAGCCATCGCAGATAAAGGAACAAATGAACCGAAAGAAAAAAAAGATGGCAAAGGGATAGCAGTATCAATTTAAAAGAATAACTCCATTATTGGACTTTCCAATCAGCATAAAGCGAACGGACGCGGGAATAAATCCAACACCCCGCCGCTCGTTTTCGAAGAAAAGGCTCAGCAACGGCTGAAAAAAAAAGAAAGAAAATATCCCCACGGCCTTAATTCGAATTAGATTGGATCCAATTTATTCCCAATTAACTGAGAAAGACGGCGGGTCCTCGTGAACGGGGAACTCGGGCGAGTATCTATTTCACATCCGAGGGGAATCTCATCCGAATTGGTCACGACAGGTTCCGTATTTCCAATTGATCCACCCTGTTCCACGATAAGTATCCCTCCTTCATTCGTTCGGGGACCATTTCGAATCGGGAGTGGCTCAATTCCCGTTTCGTCGAAATTGGATGCGGGCAGGTGTCCGCGATTCCGCCAATGCGAAACGAACAGAACGAAACCGTGTTAAAACAAAAAAAAAAAAAAAAAGGAAAAGAAAAATGATCCGAAACGAGAGAAAGAAATCGAGTAGAGAGTGGTCTAATCTCCGCGAACGAGGCTCCAGCCGACTCTACTCTGCCCATCCCGATCGAAGGACATAATGATGTCCTTGTTGGTCGGTCTCGAGCGTCTCGTGGCTTCGATGAACCCTAACCTAAGCTATGCCACGATCCACAACGCGATCCTCTGTCTTTATCGCGGCGGTGGATGACTGTCCGTTCGGCTGCCGCCGGGAGAAGCTGAAAGGGAGCGTTGTTTTAGCCAACGAATGCGGCCCGTCACCGTTCTCGATGCTCTTCATCAACGGATAATGATGAGTCTTGTACCTTCGGACAGCCACGCGATGAATAGACCGGTTGTGAGATTTCTTCCGCCGCGTGGGATTTCGTTGCGGCCAACGCGGCCACGGATTTAGAGGGAACAGACCCGGGACAGGAAGCAGGAGGGTCCTCGAGGATGTACCAACTTGGGAATCTTCTCTAGATATTAAATTCTGATTTTTCGTTTATGTGTATTCGTATGTTTCTGTGTATTTTTCAAAGTCAATGGAAGGGGTTGTAAATGTCCTGCATCGTAAGTTAAAGGTTGACATACAGTCTCATAAGCATTCGTACCTTTCGTGTTCATGGAAGAAGTGTGTCTAAATTATTAGATGTCATGCTTATGCTACGATGAATATGGTAAATTCTGGAATATTCATCAAATTCACTGGGTGAAATTGATAAATATTCCAGAATTGATTACACTCGCCAACTTTAGTGGGGATTATGTATAATCGGCGTAACATTTACAAATAAATGTTTCGTTATAAATATGTACATATGTAACGTTTCTTCATGTACATATTCGTAATGAAACATTGATTCGCACACATCGAACCTATCATTTAATTTATACAAATGTCTTCGATAGAAGGTGCGAATATTTATGGGAGTGTAAGGCAGGGCCACAAGAACAAGAAAAGCCTGAAGAATATATGAAAAGGACCTTTACCGTATCAACTAACCCCTATTTTCTACTTTTTTTCTAGAAATCCGCAGTTTCCAAATCAGAGAAAAGAGATGATCGTCGAAACACAAAAGAACACCTCGGCACAAAAGAAATTCCCAAGGAGCGTTTCTGATAGCGTGAAGATCAAGGATACGTTCGCATCTCCCTCCCGAAGGAAGATTGAATTTCCCTCCAACCGAACTTGGCTGATTGCAATTGAAAGTGCTTCCCACGACTCTGGCTCACAATCGATCCGTCACGTCTCGATTCGTCGACAAAGAGTCTCTCTAGTCTACGATTTTCGAGGCTACCACGCGATCTTCGGCTGGCTGGATTTCACATGCCTCATGAATCATGGGATTTGTAGATGAATTAAGTCCCATCGCGTGGACCCGTTTTCAATTCGAGACCGCGGCTAACTCCACCTCGAAAACGGACCCAGCCGGTGGTCCTAGCTGGGGTGGTAAAGTACCGGTCATTGTGGTCCGCTGTCGCTCGAATCCCTCTCCGTCCCTTTCGGCCACCCCTTTCCTCGTCCGCTCGTTGCTTCCAATGTTGCGTGGATCTTTTTAAAACCGGATTCAAGGATGCACAGGTGGCCATTCGGCTCGATGGAAATGAAAAACGGCGCGTCTCTATGGGACAAATTAATCTGAACTGCCTCCGAATTAAACGGAGGAGGCTAAATCTGGATTTGATCTCTGGAAAGCCGCGGTCGATGGCGATACCTTCCTTTCTGTGCATCGTTAACGGACCGTACACGTGATTTATTATTTTTCGTTCTCGGAAAACTATAAAACGCCTTCTGTATCTCGCGTTATGAATAGGGTAATTAGGTGAGCAGGGGCGAAGATGATGGAGGGACCATTCGAGGGAGGTTTTCGTGAGACGTCCTTGGAGGGATGGAGTACAACTTTGGAGAAGTGTTTAAATGAACGGTAATGTCATACTTCTTACTTAAGGATGAATGAAATGATATTCGTCATAAAGTTCAGAAATGCGACGAAATAATGATCATTGATTTTTTAAATTCCATTTATAATATAAATTCAAACAAATATCGTGGAATGCATAAGCTTTCATCTAACGATATGTAAAATTAATAAGAAAAAATAGCCAAAAAATGATCCTCAGTAATGCAGACTCATTTGTACCTGTATTATTTATTTAACATTCGAGTGATCATTTATAATAGAACACCAAGGGTACCGCAGTTTAGTCTTCAAATATTTACTGATTTCTTTTTTCGTTCGAAGAATGGGCGAACCAACGTCGAGTAGATTTATTCAAACGATTGAATCGGGAATGATTTGGCTCGTTTCATGGAGAATTAAACCCGAACGACAATTACCGAGCCGTTTACCAGGCGCGAGTAAAGACGTCAATTACAGATGCAGTCGCCTCTCCGATGTGCTCGGCATTGCGGGATTCATTAAACTCCATCGCGATCGTCATTCACGAATATCATTTCGTCCGTCTGGCCGGTCGGCTGGCTCGGTTCCTTTATACGCCAGCGCAGAAGTCATTATTTGGTTAACGGGGAACTCGACGCCGTACAACTTCATTGATTATGCAAAAGGGTTCCGGCGAATCGGCCACGCCGGACGCTCGAATCGAAACGAGTGTCAATTATTGCGGAATTAATTTAATGACTTTGACTTTTGCCGAGACTTGGTTTTCAGCTCCGGGAGGATATAGATTGGACGTCGAGATTGCGTGGGTTTGCTCTCGCGCGAATACTAATAATAACCGAAGTAATTGGTAACTGCGGTGTCATACAAAATTCACAAATTTTCATATAATTCTTTTATGCATATAATTACTTAGCCACACATTGGAGTAAATCGTCTGCAAAATTGTACAAGAAAAGAAGACAAATGATCGTGGCGCGTGTGCGAATTATGCTCGCCAAACGGGGATTAATTTTCTCTTAATTTCCCCCCCATCTACCTCGTCATCGGGAATTAAAATTCCTTTAAAATAAATTGAACCGAAAATTTCGTTAAATTGTCACCTGTTTGCCAGACGATCGCCGAATGGAATGCAGACGGGAGAAATTGCTCAATTCTTAATATCAAGTAATTATCTCAGATTATGGCACCGATAATTCAACTCCATTAATGGCGCCGGCGAACCCGGAGCTCGCCAAACGTGGAAGCCACCGCGAAATCGACGTTTTGTTTCAACTGGAGGCGGTCGGATTGGCCTCGAACCGTGGAGATTCACTTAAACCGCGTACGGTGTGACTCTCCTTGTTATTGAAATTAACCAGCGTGTAATCGTTTCGTGGCTGAACGCCTTAAACGGACGGGGGAAGGCGCGAAATCTGCCGTTTGTAGGACGCCCGGCATTACTCGTCGCCTCGGCAAGGTGCGAAACCCATATTTGGCGATGCTTCGATAAATCTGCGTCGAGGGCTGAAACGAAACTGACCAGCAATTTCGTTCCCGTCGTCTCTTTCTTTCTGTTCTTCCTCAACGCCGTACATGTGCTTCGGATTTACGCGCGAGACCACCGAACGGAAAGTTGCGGGGACTCGCGCGTTACGCCCAGGCGTCGTTTATATAAATAATGCTTGTTCTTAGTCGAGCTTTATTTAATCTTTCTTGCCAGAGTGTCGTCATTATGGTTTCAAGGATTGTTCGTAATGCTTGTACAATTTTACAGTTCGAACTGTTAACATGTTGACTGCTAGAGGAATTACTTCCTCCAATATTCTTGAAAATTTCTACTAGGATTGAATATTATTTAAACTATTGGAGACTATATAATCGAACATTTATCATGGTATTTACTCTTAGGGGACGTTGAAAGTCCAGATAACTTTGATACAGATCGAATAAAATAGATTCCCTCGTGCACAACATTTTCAAAGGCGTACACCAAACAAATCAAAGTAGCATTACAATAAATTACACACGCCTTTTGCGCTACATTATTTAATACAATATGATTCCTCTCAGCACATTCTGCAACAAAATGGCTTCGAGTGCAAAGGGTTGTTAACTTGCATTTTTAACAGAGAAATACACCTCTGCTCGCAACTTTAAGATCTAAAAAATCAGCTCCGAGAGCATTGTCAGCAAACGTTGAAGAGAAACCGCCCTCGATTCATCGAAAGAAATCGACGACGGTACCGAGCGACAGGCGCGGCAGAAAAGTATGATACAAACCCTCGAGCGGCATTGAAATCGCGATTTTATAACGTTTTTAATGGGACCCGAGCGGTGACTTTATTGCTCGCATAATATCACTATCTTTATCGATTTCTTATGCATACGGGGGCACGGGGAGGGGCGATTGGGATACATTTTCTGTCTCATTATCGACCGAAAAGTGACGGTTCGGCGCGGTTAATTGCCCGGTTCGCCAGTTTCTCGGTTCCGCTCGCTGGCGCCATACCTCAGTTTACGCGATTATGGTTGATTAAGCGGCGTCCTCTTAAAAGAGGAGTCTGTTAATCGGACAAAAACCGCTCGCAGCAGGCGGTCATTACGCGCGAAATTCATGACGGTAGAAATCCGCGCGACAAAAGGGACGTGTGCTAATGAGAAACGCGATTCTCTGATTACAGAAAATGCGCGTCGGAGCCCTCGCTGGGGTTCACGAAGGACCACCCCGGGCAGTATGTTTTCCAAACTTCTCTGACAGCGCCCCCCTCAGTCGTAAGTACGTTTCCACGACCAAACGGACAGTTGCTAAAGTTTCTGGGTAATTATTTTCCTAGTCGCCAGAAAGGGAGTTTCCTCTGAAAGTGGAATAAATGTTTTTGTAACGTACATCTGTCTTGCAGCTCATTGTTCTCCGTGTCCCTTTGCTTCCGTGCTTTTTAAAATTCACCTTTGCTTCCATCCCGGAACCGGGGGCTGGGAAAACTGTCTGGACACTGCGTACGTGGGTTTTTTTATTTAAGGTCGTGTGAGAAGGAGGCTGAGACCAGTTGCAGTGCAGCTTCTAATTTTTAATAATATTAAAACAAGATAAAATCATACAATCAGTCACATTTGTGTTTGATGTCAAAGTAATAATTTAATTTAGACAGATTTTTTTTAATAGACACAACGGATATTTATGCCCTCAGGGGCTGTAACATGCTAGTATGCAGCTACAGTACGTGCTTAGCAACCCCGAGATACCCTAGCTAGATGGGGTCTAATGGGCTCCAACAGCCGTGTACAAAAAACAAGACTAACGTAAACATAATGTACAGAGTTACGATAAAGCGAACTAAGCCAAAATTAAGGAATTATGTAAGGCAAAGTAATGTCAAGAAAAATAGAAATAATTGAAGTGACGGTTACGGACTTTTATGAGACTGTCTGTATACTCATTTATTCACACATTCAAAGTATTACAGCTAGCCTGTTTCGATTGAAAGTAAGAAGTTCATCTCGAGGAAATTTTGGTCCAACGACCAATAATTTAAAGCTATCGCTACGTGTGCTCAAAGTTTCTGTCTCTATTAACATTCGCCGATCTAATACGCAAAATCTTGACCATTACTCCCGAAACTGTGGCAATGGGGGGTCGCCAGATGTCTCGATGCTCCATGGTGTCTCCGCGAGATTGTTGACCAGACGGTGTCATAATCTCGGGGCTTTACTTACGAGCAGCTGGCTAATTTGCTAGCACCGGACACGCGCGAGCACGGTGTCCCCGCCACCGAACGGGTAATACGGATGGCCGAGGACGATAAAAGTAGAAAGCCAGGAGGCGTTAAAGGGGAACAGAGAGACTTTAACGGCCTCGCGTAACGCGGATCGCAAGGCCGGCCTCTTTATGAGATAAATCGTTTTATTGTGGCCGCTGGAGAGCATTGAACGGCGGTGGAAAAGCTGCCGGGGCTAGGTGCGAAAAGGGAAGGTGGCGTATCTTTCGTTAAATGCCTTTCCGGGTGAATCGTTCGCGTGAATGATACTCGGAAGCCAGCCTGCAGCGGAACCTGAACGGCAATTCAGGGGAATCGTGTTGGGAGCAACTTTCGAGGGTCCTGGGGAGCTGTTGAAGGTTAGCCGGACGCTCCAACATCCACCACTTGGAACAGTTTTGAATGCTACACGTTTGCACTTGAGCTTGGGAATTCTTGCGGGTTCGAAGAACTCTTTGTCTGCTACAAGTAAGTCCTACTCTGGTTCAAATACGGATTGGTACATGTGAGAAATGAATCATTGGCGCCGTTTCAAGCGTTTTTAATTTTTCGATTGTTAGAAACTGCTTGGAGAGGCCA